ACAGACCCAAAGCAAAGTGGTTGGCTCTTAATTACCCTTGGGGCAATTAAAGATGGGCAAAAATTATTGGCCTGGCCAGCGATACCCTCATCCTGTGATTGCAAAGTTAGTGTTTCCAGTCTAGTGAAAAGTTGCTGGACTTGTAATGTTACCTTTACTTTTTTCCACACTGATGCTGCCAAACCTGCTGACTTCTGTTTTTGTTTCAGAAATCCAGCATCCGCAGTTCTTTGCTTTATTATCCAGAAGTATTCACTTCATTTATAAAGGCCAGTATGTTACAGTATGTTATACACAAAAAGTTCAGCCCAGAAAGTGAGCTCTGAGGAGAAGCTAGCTCAGAAGGGGTGGAGTATGGCAAGAAGATTCAGCCCATGATGGGTTTTTTCCCAAAAGGAGGAGTTTTTTTAAAATATTCATTCACAGTATGTGGGATCACTGGATGGGCCATCATTTATTGCCTATCCCTATTTGCCTATGGGCTTTTCCAACAAGCGGCAATGCATTCATGGTCAACATTAAACGCTTAATTACAATCTCAAATTCCATCATCTATCATAGCAACATTTGAACCCGGATCCCCAGAACATTAGCTCAGTGTCTGGATTAACACTCCAGCAATAACACCACCAGGCCATCATCTCCCCACAAGTGTTACATTATTCATCAAGGGTTTCGAATGAATTGTTACAAAAAGATACATCCAGGGAGTCGTAATGACTGCTTCACTGCAGTGAGATGTTAAGGTACAAAATATCAGTCCACCAGTCACAAGGACAGCCCTACAATAGGTCAATGAAGCTCCAGCATTTTGAATCTAAAAGAAGGCGATGAATTCCAGCTTCTGGGAATCAGAAGATATGACTGTCCTGCAGTGCTGTCAAGCTCACTTTCCAAACATTCTGAGGTAGTAGGAACTGTCAATGCTGGAGAATCTGAGATAACAAGGTGTACAGCTGGAGGGACACAGCAGGCCAAGCAGCATCAGAGGAGCAGGAAGGCTGATGTTTCGGGTCTGGACTCTTCTTCAGAAATGGGGGAGGGGAAGGGGATTCTGAAATAAAGAGAGAGAGGGGGTAGGCGGATGGAAGGTGGAGAGGAGATGGACAGGTCAAGGAAGCGGGCTGGAGCCAGTAAAGGTGAGTGAGTGTAGGTGGGGAGTTAGGATGGGGGTGTGCCAGTGCCACAACGATGCCACCCGAAGGCTGGAGGAACAGCATTTCATATTTCGCTTGGGAACCCTGCAGCCCAATGGTCTCAATGTGGACTTCACAAGCTTCAAAATCTCCCCACCCCCGACCTCATCCCAAAACCAGCCCAGCTCCTCTCCGCCTCCTTGACCTGTCCGTCTTTTCTCCCACGTATCCGCTCCTCTCACCTCACTGACCAACCCCCAACCCCACCTCCTACCTACCAGCCTCATCCCCACCTCCTTGACCCGTCCGTCTTCCCATGACTGACCAACCCCCACCCTAACTCCCCACCTACACTCACCTTTACTGGCTCCATCCCCGCCTCCTTGACCTGTCCGTCTCCTCTCCACTTATCTGCTCCTTTATCCACCTTCCATCTGCCTCCCCCTCTCTCTCTCTATTTATTTCAGAATCCCTTTCCCCTCCCCCATTTCTGAAGAAGGGTCCAGACCCGAAACGTCAGCTTTCCTGCTCTTCTGATGCTGCTTGGCCTGCTGGGTTCATCCAGCTCCAAACCCTGTTATCTCTTATTCCAAACATTCTGATGCACACTTCTTAATTTTTTGGTATTTACAATCATATTTATGACTCAAGATTCTCTCCAAAATCAGTTAAGAATTAATAATAAGGCTACTGTTTTGCTGCACTTAAAAATGTGCGCATATTTCAGACATCTTTCCACAACTGAAGTAGTAAAATATGTAAGGTTAAACCACTAAACAGATGAGTGTTAGGAAAAGGGAAGTAAATGAAGAAAAGAGATTCTGTCAGTCCTGATGCTGACTTAAGAGATAACAGACACATTATTTAAGAAGTGGCTGCCTGGAAGTACACTTAAATATACAACCATGTGATTACTGAAAACTATTAAATGTCAGTAGGTCATAATGTTCAAAGGTAAAAAACCAATTTAAAAGAGAGATAACTTTTGTCATCCACTGACAAATTGACAGGTGCTGCTGCTCACAAAAAGATTAATTTTATTTTTAGCTCAAACAACTTGAAGAATTTTATATTTTCCATCTTTTGGATGAACATTGAATAATGATGCATTCTGGAACAAATGTTGACTACTGCTGTAATGCTTTCAATAAAACATTTCTATACAATACTATAAAGAATTCAAGGTGAAGAATATGCATTGGATATAAACATGATTCTGTTGTAACCACACTTTAAATTCAACTAGCTGACCACTGAAAACCAAACATTAAACTTCAAACCTTTCATAACTGAGCAGATCAAATAGTATATAAGGAAAGCATCAACCAGTAGGACATGATAATGCTCATATTTTTGTACCTAGAATCACAGGGACATTGATGGTTGCAGCACAGAGAGAGTGCCAGTCAGCCCATCCTCTCCCTGCTGGCTCTCTGCAACAGTAACTCAATGCATCCAACTCTCCTACTTTTTTTCCTGTAGCCCTGTAAATATTTCCATTTCAGATAATTATCCATTTCCCTTTGAATGCTATAACTGAATCTGCCATCAGCACACTCTCACCCAGTGCATTCCAAATCACAACGATAAAAGGTTTCTCCCCATGTCATCATTTGTTCTTTTGCTAACTCTGTGCCCACCTATTCTCAATCCTCACACCAGTGTGAACAGTTTCTCTCTATCTACTCTGCTCATACACCTCAAGGTTTTGAGCAAGCTTATGCCAAACTGCATAACTCCACATTTTCCAAAACAACATTCCATTTGCTAAGATTCTTTCCACTTTTTGAACCTGTCCATATCCTTTTGTTGATTCTGTGCCATCCTCATCAGTTGCCTGCCCACCTTTCTTTTTGTGTCATCTGCAAACTTGGCTTCAGTGCATTCACTTTTCTCATCCGAATTATTAATGCATACTGTAAATAATTGTGGCCCCAGCACTAATCCCTGTGGTACATCACAAGTTACAGGCTTCCATCCTGAAAATGTTGCCTTTATCCCAACTCTCTATCCTCTACTAGTCAGTCAATCCTCTATCCATTTTCATATATTCCTCTTAACATCATGGGTTATTTAGTACCTATGTGCATGGTATTTAATTGACTACTTTTTGGACATCCAAATATATTACATCAACTGTTCCCCCTTATCTATCCTGCTTGTCACCTCTTCAAAAAAAAATTGATAAATTTGTCATATGTGATTTCCATTTCATGAAACCATAGTGACTCTGTTTGATTTTGTTCTACATTTCAATCCTTTATAATTGACCACAACATTTTCCCAATGACAGATGTTAAGGTAACTGGCCTATAGTCGCTTGATTTTTGTCTCCCTCGGTCTTTGAATCAGAGTGCTACCAGACTCTGTAATTAATCCTTCTGGGACATATTCTCTCTCTTGCATTGTCACTTTCTGCTTAATAAATATTGCCACCCCATCTCCTTTCTTGTTGCCTGAAAAACTCTTATGCATGAATAATTAATACATAGTTCTTTCTTCCTTTGAGTCAGACCTCTGTTATAGTCGCAGCATTGTATTTCTACATGCTTGTCTGCACCTGCAGTTCATCAACCCTGTTACCATGCTATATGCTTTCACATACATGCACAATAACTCTTGACTTTATTACCTTCCCTATTAATTGGTCCCTGTTCTATTTCCTGCTCTCATGTTAGTTGTCTTTCCCAATTGAGAGAGACTTGGTTTTCCTCTCTAATACTAGCCCCTGGCAATTAGTTTAAACCCTCCACATCTGACTGATAAAGAAGAATTACATCATGGCATTGTTTCCGTTTATGTTTTGGTTACCTCTCAAATTGGCTCCATCTTTCCTGGGACTCCATGCTTAAATTTGCCAATCAGTTTTACAGATCTTCCATAGGACAGAAATAACACAAAGTCACAAATTAGATCTGGCATGATTCTGGAAAAGGTAAGTTTTCCCTACACCTCCTTCTCAACTGTCTTGCCGATGACATGATTGCTCACCATCATCCTCCAAGATCCTTGTTATCCAGCTTGTTTGTTCCACTCTCAACTAGTTCCATATCTGTATTATTTCTTGCAACGCTTTCTCATTTAGTTCTTGCACCATATATTTCACCAAAGAATATTGTAGGGTTTTGACTTCCATATTTTATGATCCTAGTGCTAAATTAAAATAGTTTCTTTCATGGAAGCTAAGTAAGATGAGGATTCTGCCCACAGTAATGAATGACATTTCTATAATGAACAATGAGCATAAGCAACAAGCCGTGGGCAGAATTAAGAGCTCACACAACCGATGGATCAGGACAGGTTCCACAGCTTCACCATATCCAGTTGAGAATATTAGTGGATAATGACAGACAACCAGGAATGGACAATTCAAATATAATGATCAATCTCTCCGTTCCAGGATACAGATTTACATTAAAATTATATTTTATCAAGGCTGATAACTTTCTTGAATTCTAGCTATTTCAAGGAATCAACCAAACTGTAGAATGTAGCAAAACTTGAGTTCCTCAAAGGTTAAGAAAAATAGTTCTTTTAAAAGGAAAATAAACATATGTCAGACTTTTGTATTTCTTTAAATTCCTTGATAAGATGCACAAGAAAGGGTGGAAGATAGCAAAACTTCTGCATAAAATATAATATTTTTGCATTGTTACACTAGACTGGAAAATGCTATTACAGATTTTACAAACAAACTGTTGCCCTAATATGACTAAAACAGATTGCTTTAACGGACAGCCTTAAATAAATACATATGGTGCAGTATTCCTCAATCCTATCGATTGTAGCACAAATGGTACAAAAGGGACATTTTACTGCCTCTTACAAGTTTGAAAAGAGTAGAGTTCTGTCTGCTTCAATTACCTGTCATGCCTTAGTGCTCTCATATCCACATAAACAGTTGTGGGATCTGGTCCTGACGTTCCCTGAAATCAACAGCATCAAGTGGTTAAGAAATAAGCATGGAAAAGAAGCAACATATCTCTTCATAATTCAATCACTGTCTCAAATGATTAGCTGAAACTTCTGCATTGTAGTTTTAACCCATCAGGGCCCTCCATTAATTCATTTAAACTGATAGTCGCAAATGCACAACTTCTATTAATTTAGTTTTACAGATTTAAATGCATATTTAATATTTTAAAGTATCTTCCATTAAAATGCAATTAGTTCTTGATTTACAGTTAGTACTTACCATTATGCAAAAGTGTTCATGTTTTTGTAATTTTCTGCAAAAATGATAACACGGAAACTATGCAAACAGAGCTAAAACTACACTCTAACAAAAGCAATCAACCAAATTCATGCAAGAAAATTGTGTAATAAATAATTTAACACACTTGACTAAATACAGAGCAATATTGCCAAAAGCAGCAGCCAAGCTTACTACTGCAACATGATCCACTGAAGACTTGTCAACATGCAACAGCAGGAATGGAAGGAGGTCCTTTGAAGTTCAATTTAGAATACCAGCAAATCAGTATAGGGGTGGGTAGGTATAACAAGGATAAGTATTCCTCACTCTTTACATAGAAAGTCTACTGTATGCTGGAATCGGTTACCGTTAGCGGGTTATTTAGTAATCAAACAGCAGCAAAGTTACATTTAACACTAAATTTACCTTGGAGTTAAAGTTAAAAATTAGTGTCATTAATGTGTGTCATAGTGGTTCAATGTGCTTCTGTGAATTTAAAGAATATATACTTTCCAGTTGCTTCCTAAGGCTTTAAAACCATTCCCCAACACACTATTTGCTTCAATTATACAATTATTCTCAAGTCCAATCTGAAATACCTTTTAACAAATTGCTTAATACATACCACAATACTATCCAAATTACATAAAGTTATAATGAAATTGTTTTCAGCCATTTGAGAAATTAACAAATTAAATGATCAAAAATGTTAAAATATCAACTGAGGCAAAAACGCATGTTTGTTTACATAGGGACATGGGGAATATGAGTACGGGTAGGTCATCCAGCCCCGTGAACCGACTCCACATTCAACTAGATCATGGCTAGTTTTACACCTCAATGGCATTTTCCTGCACTACCTCCCATCCTTTGATGTTTTTAAGATAAAGGAATCATTTTGATACTCAATTATTGACTTTCCACAGCCTACTGGAGTGGAGAATTCCAAAGATTCCAGACTTCCTGAATGAAGAACTTTCTCCTCAGTTCAATCCACAATGGCCTGTCCCTAATTCTGACACTGTCTCCTGCTTCTGGATACTCCAGCCTGGGGAAACACCCTTCTCACATCTACCTTGGCGAGTCATGTAAGTATTTTTCATGCTTCAATTAGACCACTTCCAAACTCTCAAGAATACAGGCCCATTTTCCTCAAACTCATCATAGGAAAATCCGGTCTTCCCAGGAATCAGTCTGGTGAATCATTGTGGTACTCCGTGTATAGCAAGTATATGGCAAGTTTACAAACCAATGATGAGTGTGTGCATGGATGTCTGAGGGAGTGTAAGTTTGCAGTCCATTCACATGAACAATCGTTCAATTTCTGTTTAGGGCTGAGGGGTGAGGGAGTGTGTTTCAACAAGCATTAGTATGACTATTATTTATAAGTTCTGCATTCTTAATTAAAACACTGCAACTTCCAGGATACACTGGTACTATGGGAGATTATGGAATCCCTACAGTGTGGAAACAGGCCCTTCGGCCCAACAAATCCACACTGAACCTCAGAGCATTCCACCCAGACCCATCCCCCCTATAACCCACCTAATCTACACCTCCCTGAACACTACAGGCAATTTAGCACGGCCAATCCACCTAACCTGCACATCTTTGGACTGTGGGAGGAAACCCGGAGGAAACCCACGCAGACATGGGGAGAACGTGCAAACTCCACACAGACAGTCGCCCGAGACTGGAATCGAACCCGGGTCCCTGGCCCAGTGAGGCAGCAGTGCTAACCACTGTGCCACCATGCCGCCCCTGTTCCAAAACCCAGAGATACCTCAAATTATCAGTTTCTGCTCATTGCTTAATTAGCAAAAATTTAAAGAGAGGACTGAGTAGAAGTTGAAAGTACAGTGGAGACCGCTGTGACTTTCCCAGATACATCAATGCAATTTCCTCCTACCAACTAACATTCTGTGAAGGTTAGTGCGACCCAATAATACTAAAGTTTCTCTTCATTGCTATAAGTTTTGTTGGAGAGCCTAGTATATTCTTCTGTGTCTTACACTTACACAGCCTGTCACACATTCAGAGATGGCTTCAAACAAAAAGGCTGAGCATCTCCTCAGGCTTCCGCTCTCATCATCGACCTCACTGACGGAGGTTATCACTTCACTGAAACATCTACATATACTCTCACAAAGCTCTGGATTTAAATCTGGTCCGTCTGTCTGTCTGTCCCTCTCTCTCTGTCTCACCCTCCCCCCGTAACTGCACACCTCCCCCACCCAAGCCCCCAGTTAGCAACATATGTCCTCTTTGATTTTCTGTTAAAACACACTTCATGTTCTACTTGTCCTGATTGTAACCCCAGATTACAAGAACAAGTGATTGCAAGTTTTCCCTGAAGAGCAGTTTAACAATGGTATCAAAAAGTCCCAACACTACCTCCCAACAGCTACTTCCACTTTGTTGTCACCTTCCCAACTTTTTTGCACCTTTAATCATGAACTAGAAGTGACATTAACATCCTGAATTCAGAAAATTAGCTTCCAGATGCACTAAAATTTTCATGATTAAAATTTTGAATTATACCACTATGTCTTCATTCTGCGCAGTGTAGATTTTGGAAGCTTCAAAATTTATATTTTAAAATTGGCCTGCTCAAAAACAAAATTGGTACTGATGTATTAAATTGATTGGTGGGATCAAGTCAGGTGCAGTGCAGTCTTACCTCACCAAACACTGGGCTCATCTTCCCTAGAGTGACAGTACTGAAATCTCTCTGCTTGCTACATAATAAAGGGGCTGCACTTAAAAATATTTCAGTTCAGACACATTTTACAATAAGCTGCTGCCACTTCAGTAATAACTGGCAATAACGCACATACCAATTACAATGGAAACTCTTGTAGGAAATCAGACACTTTGCACAAAACAGTCTTCTGGAGTTTAGGGCTAAGGTGCATTGTTGAGTCTGGTAGACAGCACTTTACAGCCAGCAGCACAACTGAACCAAAAAAGTTTGATCCAGAATCCGAGTGCATGAAGTGTTCTAATGCCCGGCATTAAGACCACCCCATAAAACCAGTGTAAATTATCTAATGCGTTGGACAATTCCAGAAACCACCTGGGATTTGAGATCATTGTTCAAATCCCAGTCTTGACCAACATTCCCATTCTTTCTTTTGTCTGAAAGGAATTGCTGCCACTGTTTTGTTTTCACCCGGAGAAAAGACGAATAACAGGATGAATAGCTGTAGATTTAACTTTGCTATGGACAGCCACTGAAAGAAGCTCTAGCTACACTGATTATCAGCTCCTAACTCCTCTTAGGTGAACAGCACAAAGTATGTGGTAAAACAGTGGCGACCACATAAAGAAGAAAACACAATCACTAAGAGGAGAGAGAGAATCCTACACAAATAAGTGTTACATTTAGGTTAACCTGGTCCTGGCTGTGTCTTCAGGGTATTACACTGTTCCTTAATAAGCTTTCCCCAAGCTCTGGAGCCATTAACTGAACTGTGATGAACTTTGTCTTTACTCTTTTTATTATTATGTATGACTTCTGCCATTGATGGCAATGCCGTGGTGGGGGCGACTAATAAAACATTTCACGGTGTTTTTCATGTAAAGGTACATTTGACAATAAATTTCTATTCTATGGATTTCTTCATATGAAAAGTTACCTTTGATTTTTGGCAAAATATTGAATAATATGCAATGATAACTGAGCTCACATTTCACCCACAGTTTAATTTCCTTGATGACAGATTGGAGACTCCACACTACTTTGACCCCAAACTCTCCTCACCTATCTGAAAGTCAGCCATTGTGTTACTATCACACCATCCTGCCACAAAACACCACGCAAGACTCAAACATACTGATTCGTCCCAGTCCAACAAAAAAGGCTCAGAAATATACAACACAGAATTCACCATCTTATTCAGACACCAGTGTTTTTTCTTCTCAATCAACTTTTGTGAAAATTCAGCAGTGTAACAGACTAGTGCTGAGTGGGGAGATCATTCAACTAACTTTTCCTTCATTGCCACCTGGATGGAAAACCAGAATAAGAAAATAAAACAGAGGAAAGACAAATTCACATGAACACGAGACAGTGGACATCCCAAAGACAACCTCCTAACTGGTGCACAGTCAGCTTTTTACCTCAGCATTTTTGTGCTGAATGAGGAATTAAAATGAAAGATTCAAACGTCAAGCGACATCTTTTAAAACTCACTTATGCATTAAATCCTGGCACTGTTGGGTGTCCACTGAACTGCCAAGGGATAGGCAGCACTTTAAATAATACAGACCTAACATCCCAGATCTCCAGACTCAGTTCTAGTCTGACCTGCTGTTGGAAGCTGACTGTTGGGTGAATAGGGAACATGAAAATCCCCTACCTGCTCGGCCAGCTTCCCCAGCCGGTGAGGCTATAGCAGCAGAAATTGCAGGGTGAGGAGAAGAGGAAGGCAAACAAAGTCAGACAAAAATAAATGGGAGTGGGGTTTACAGAAGCAAATGTATTAAACAAGGGTCAAAAGGAGGGGGAGAAAGACAATGTCAAAATAGACAAACCTCTGCAAAGTTAGCTACAACTTTACCATTAACACGCTTACAAGAAATAAAATTGTAAAAATGACACAGTAAAATTTTAGTCATACAAATTAAGGAACAATTTAAAGCGACGGCTAACAGAGTCATGGCATAAAAGATGAAGTTTTAGTCACAATTTTAAAAAAAAATTCTGAATTTTTTTCAAAGTTACAAAGC